GTGATTGCAGCTCGTGGTGCTCATACGAGATACTGAGAAAGACGCCCCCCTGGTGACAAACTGGTGTCTGTGAGATGACTTTTGAAATGACAATTTTAAACATGCCCATCTTGGTTATTATTCTGCCAAATTTCAGACTTCTGTCTTAAATAATAAAAATGCTGTGTCGTCTTAAAACTTCAGATCAAAATCTCTAAAATACAGGGGTTGCGTTTCTTTTTTGACAGAGTTTATAATGCATATAAATCTTTATTTACAGATGGGTCCAAGGATGGTGGCGCAGTAGCTTGTGCCACTGTCATTGGATCCAGAACAATATCTTCTCGATTGCCTGGTAACAGCTCTATTTTCACTGCAGAAGCAAACGCCATATTAACAGCCTTAAAATATATTAATAAACACCCTAAATATAAAGAATATATAATCTTTTCAGACTCTCTTTCTTGTCTTCAGGCTATTAAAACTTATCGTGTAAACATCCACTTTTAATAGAAATTATTGAGTTATATAATGAACTTGCAACTGGTCAATGCGACATCGTTTTTTGTTGGTTACCAAGCCACGTTGGCATTTCTGGTAACACAATGGCCGATCTTGCAGCTAAGGCAGCACTCAACAAATCTGTGACTCCACTTCTTATTCCATACTCTGATTACAAAGCTAGCATTAGAACTTACATCCGTGATCTGATGCAGAAGAAGTGGGACACCCAAGTAGGTATAAATAAGTTACATGCAATTAAACCAACCATCGGTTACACCTACTTGGGTTGCCAGTCCAGATTTCAAGAGGTCATTCTGCGACGATGTCGCATTGGCCATACGCGTTATACTCATAAATACTTGCTAAATGGTGAAGATCCTCCGTTTTGTATCCCTTGTGATGAGAGAGTTACGGTCAAGCATATCCTGCTTGACTGTGTTGAATTCTCCATCATAAGGGATAAATATTTCAGTGTGAAAACAGTTAAGGATCTTTTACTACTGTTCATTCTCATTTAATTCTTGGTTTTAAAAAGAAATTGACTTCCTTGATGAATTCTGATTAACATGTTCTGTAGATAGATGTATTTTAATGATTGGTAGTTTAGATTAGTAACTTAGATTGTTAGTGGCTGTACTCTCAAAGGGGTTGAAGTATTGTAAAATTATTGTCCTCCTGAGAGGGTACATAAGTCCCAATGCATTCCCAGCAAATTTAAACCTACTCTTATTTTTTAATCGTAGTATATGTGTTATTTTAATCTGTGGCTAGATTTATCTAAATTGCTAACGGCTGAAGGGATGGTGTAAATCCAGCTAGGGTCCGTGCAGGTAGCAAGAGTACTGTAAGTCCCCACGGTCCCTGGCATGGTGATCTAACTTCAGTTGTTGGCAAAACATAGCCCGTTTTATATTGTGTTGTCATCTATAGTTAAAGTATTTTAGTATTAATTACTAGTTTTAGATTGACATGTGTGATATACTAGTTGTTTTACTGTCCTTTGCTGACAGTTTTTATCATTTACCTTTATTCATTTGTAAAATTATAACTTGTTTGTAGTCACTATATGGCTGAAATATTGCCGATGTGACTTAAAACCTTAACTCACTCACTCACTCACTCCTGCTACTACTAAATAATAGAGAGTCTGTCCGGAGAACAAAATATCTGTGGTTCCATCCGCTGGCAGTGTGGAACCATCAGAAGATAAAACATAGTCCTTGTTTATACCTTACCTGGCGTTCTGAAACAAGGGACTAGAAACAGGGGTGGTCGGCTTGTCAAAGGTATTATTCCGGATAATAATGGAAAATAATAAACACAAAGACATCTGTGAAGAAGCGTGATAATGATAACTTCACCAATATGCACGATGAACTTAATTTGTACCCAATTTACCACACGACTGTCGTGTTCTGGGTGACAGTAATGAGCCTCATAGACTCTCTCCTTGTTTTAATGACTGCCGGACAGAATGGCCAACGGGCTACACGAGATGGGGACACAGCAATGCCACGGTCATATCGCAGGTCAGAATCGCTGAATACGATTGACCATATAGTCAACTACGATCGAATAGTGGAGACACTAGCCGTTCGTGAAACGGGTAGCGTCTCCTGACCAACCCGTCACAAACACATGCAAAGGCAAATCAATTATTCAATCATGGGATCATATAGTACAAGTCAACATAGGGAATTGTGTCGGACATACTTTTTTCACAAATTCGTCAGTTTGAAATTGTCATTCAGATAAACTTTCATAAAAACTTGACCGAGACTCTGGATGTTGTAACCCTGATACACAAGGCTTCAGCAAGAGCCATACGTACTTAGCTGAAAGAACATGGACGATCATATCTCAAAAGTCGTGCAGTGTGGACAAAAGGCGAGAGCTGGTGGAATGTTACCCACGTAAGCAGTTGTCACGTGACGCCTCTCTGAGCCTCCTCTCTGGACAGCTCGTCTAATGACGTAATGTCATGTTTTTACATCCCTGATATATTACTTGAAGAGCATTGGGTTATTTGAAGGAATTTTATCTACATCTCAAACTTACATGAGGAAATTGTATTTTAAAGGGTTTGTCCCAAAACAACTTGTTGACGTTCAGACGGAATGGAATAGTATACTCTGTTATCTGTGACCTATGACGTCATTATTACTGAGCGATGAAGTTTAAGCAGACTGCATACACAAGTCACATGTTGTTTGTGGAAATCAGTTTGCTCCGAAATGACACTGATGTTTCACATGGTTATCTGGAAACATGTCACAGTGTTCTGGAAGTATAGCACATGCTATGTGGAAGAATACCAAAGTATACCAAAGTATACCAAAGTAACATCGAAGTATGTCAACGATATCTTGAAATATACCACATAGTTCTTGTGATATTTACAAACATATGGCATCTGGAAGTGTATCAATCACGTTATCCGAAAATGATATACTGCAATTCAATGTATTTGATTTAGCTGACAGCTATTCCTGTGTTGGTGTTTTTCTAAACATCAACATAAGACCACGCCTACTATCTGTATTCTGATTGGCTGATACAAGAACGGACAAGGCTTATATTGCATTATATACCGCTGAACGATGTCACTCTTTCGTTCACGTATAGGAAGTTTCGTGTGTGAGCATAGAACACCCTTTGAAGTTATTGTTGACGTAATACTTGATGAGAATTGAACTCCGTGTGCATTGGCAGTAAAGATAAAGAAACAATGTGTAAATTGAAGAAAATGGAGGTAACTTGGAGGAGGTAAATTGCAGGTAAAGAAATTCACATGTTATCTGCAAGAATATCACATGCCAGTTGGATCAATATCATTTGTGATTTAGTATATCAAAGCTATCTGATAGCATATCAATGCTATCTGGTAGTATATCAATGTTATCTGGTAGTATATCAATGTTATCTGATAATATATCAATGTTACCTGGTAGTATATAAATGTTATCTGGTAGTATATCAATGTTATCTGGTAGTATGTCAATGTTATCTGATAATATATCAATGTTATCTGGTAGTATATCAATGTTATCTGATAGTATATCAATGTTATCTGATAATATATCAATGTTATCTGGTAGTATGTCAATGTTATCTGATAATATATCAATGTTATCTGGTAGTATATCAATGTTATCTGATAGTATATCAATGTTATCTGATAGTATATCAATGTTATCTGATAATATATCAATGTTATCTGGTAGTATATCAATGTTATCTGATAATATATCAATGTTATCTGGTAGTATATCAATGTTATCTGATAGTATATCAATGTTATCTGATAGTATATCAATGTTATCTGATAATATATCAATGTTTTCTGGTAGTATATCAATGTTATCTGATAGTATATCAATGTTATCTGATAATATATCAATGTTATTTGGTAGTATGTCAATGTTATCTGATAATATATCAATGTTATCTGGTAGTATATCAATGTTATCTGATAATATATCAATGTTATCTGGTAGTATATCAATGTTATCTGATAGTATATCAATGTTATCTGATAGTATATCAATGTTATCTGATAATATATCAATGTTATCTGGTAGTATATTAGTGTTATCCGATGGTATATCAGTGTTATCCAACAGTCTATCAATGTTATATGATACTATATCAGTGTTATCCGATAGTATATCAATGTTATCCGATGGTATATCAGTGTTATCCGATGGTCTATCAATGTTATCCGATGGTATATCAGTGTTATCCGATGGTATATCAGTGCTATCCGATGGTATATCAATGTTATATGATACTTTAGCAGTGTCATCCGATGGTATATCAGTGTTATCCGATGGTATATCAGTGTAATCCGATGGTATATCAATGTTATCCGATGGTATATCAGTGTTATCCGATGGTATATCAGTGTTATCCGATGGTATATCAGTGTTATCCGATGGTATATCAATGTTATCTGGAGTTGAGTTTCATTCCTTTGACACAACAAACAACCCCACCACTGACTCGACCTTGACCGGGGCTCGGGGTGTTACATGTTTGAAATGCATTGTTCCTGTTGGGCGTGACTCAGATCCCTGGGTCGCTGTGACAGCCACTCTGCGCGCTCTGTACTGCAAGTGTGTTGGAGATCGGGTTTCAAGTGATGAATGTTTTAATGTGTGCACAGAGGAAATACTTGTCACGATGTATCGTGTTGATTTCCAGGTGGATTGCCCAATTTCCTAGATGGACGTGAAACAATAACTGAGAACCACGGTACATCTACATCCAGTTATAGCGCTGACATTTGGTGCTGCCACTCTGTATCTGTCACTCTAGTTCGCGACCATTCAAGGTCAACCATTTTCTATCACTGTACTACAATGACGGTTTGGTAGCCTAGTGGTTAAAGCGTTCGCTTGTCACGCCGAAGACCTTGGTTCAATTCCCAATGGGCACAATGCGTGAAACCTATTTCTGGTGTCCCCTGCCGTGGTATTGCTGGAATATTGCTAAAAGCGGCGTAAAACTAAACTCACTCACTCGAGGCAGCTCTGGTGGTCGCATCCATCAGTTTGGTCCTCATATGACGGTCTGTGACAGGTAGGACCATGAAGCAGGTAGTTGAAGGTTACTGGTTTGGGGAAATCCTGGAAACTGCCTGTGCCATCCTGGACGTAACTGTGATGCAGCTAGTAATAATTGGGTCAAGTGGAACACATACCATGTCGCTACTGTTATCTGATGAAACAGGAAATGTGATAGCTCCCTGATGACTAGAAACAATACATTAAACGATCATGTGTCAATAATGACCGACCGACTACTTCATACACGCAATACTTCCAATACCGCATCCCAGGTGGAGTTCATCAGTTGCACGGATATCAGCATGAAGGGCTTCAATTAGCCAGAACTACGATGTACATGTTGATGGTAAACAGGACAGGGGATCTGTGTGTGTACAGATGTGGAGGCATGTAGCTAGGTAAAGTAAGCGCAGGAAACGCCGGAAATTTCATTTCAGAATTGTAAATATATTCACGAGTATGAATTGATTTCACGGCTTTTCCGTAACATGCTGTTACGACGTTCTGGTTGTTTGTTGACTGTGCGTGTCCTCTAGGCAGTGAGCACGATTATGGCTCAACACATGACAAGGTTTGATATCGTGTTGTGTTGAATGGGACACAGGGACGAGGGTGGGTATAGGGTAGAGGTAGGCGGGGTAGACAGGGGGCGGGGTGGACACGGACGTAGGAGGTAGTGATTGACGGTGATGTTGGTGATGTGTCCGTTGTGATGTGGTGGTGATGGTGGGTGGTGATGGTGGGTGGTGATGATGGGTGGTGATGGAGGCTGGTGATGGTGGGTGGTGATGATGGGTGGTGATGGAGGCTGGTGATGGTGGGTGGTGATGATGGGTGGTGATGATGGGTGGGGATGGAGGCTGGTGATGGTGGGTGGTGATGATGGGTGGTGGTGATGGGTGGTGATGGAGGCTGGTGATGGTGGGTGGTGATGGTGGATGGTGATGATGGGTGGTGATGATGGGTGGTGATGGAGGCTGGTGATGGTGGGTGATGATGGTGGGTGGTGATGATGGGTGGTGATGGAGGCTGGTGATGATGGGTAGTGATGGTGGGTGGTGATGATGGGTGGTGATGATGGGTGGTGATGGAGGCTGGTGATGATGGGTGGTGATGGAGGGTGGTGATGGTGGGTGGTGATGGAGGGTGGTGATGATGGGTGGTGATGATGGGTGGTGATGATGGGTGGTGATAGAGGCTGGTGATGATGGGTGGTGATGGAGGCTGGTGATGATGGGTGGTGATAGAGGCTGCTGATGATGGGTGGTGATTGAGGCTGGTGATGGTGGGTGGTGATGGTGGGTGGTGATGGTGGGTGGTGATGATGATCCCTGGAGATGATGGGTGGTGATGATGGGTGGTGATGGTGGGTGGTGATTATGGGTAGTGATGGAGGCTGGTGATGGTGGGTGGTGATGATGGGTGGTGATGCAGGGTGGTGATGGTGGGTGGTGATGATGATCCCTGGAGATGGTGGGTGTGAAGGTTCTGCTCTTCACTTCCAACACAAAGCTATGGCGGCAAAAGGGTCCAGGCTGCATCAGCAGCGAAAATATCTGATACATGTCGACTTTCGGTGAACTGAAGGTCAGGACTTACTTTGTTTTATATACCTTACTGTCTTCGATACAAAAACACATTTACAAATGTATAAAATAAACCATGGTCCACCAAGCGTAAACCCAGGAAGAAGTGAACTGCAGAGACAAAGGGCGGTCTCCCGATCGCGTGCGTTAGTACACAAGTTGGTCAACATTTACACAGGTCATCAACGACATCTGTGTCTTTGACATCAGCCTATGACGTCACCGATGTTCATTTTTCGGGGCTTAAGAACAAACCGGTTGATATTCTGTTTGTATGTGTGTGCGTGCGCATGCGTTGGCCCGGAACAAAAGAGCGCGTTATTTTCACAAAGGTTGTACAATACAAACCCCAAACTGTCCTCAAAGAGAGGTGTTGAATAAACTCTAATGACTGAATGTTTAAGCGCAGTCCTTGAAGTTGCCTTGTTCATTTTCTATTTCATGTCCATACTGTTTATGGAGAGTATTGTATGACAGACATTTCACGAAACTAAAAAATAAATAACCTACTTACTTCACAAAGTGGTTGAAAAGCTGCACTTTACAACAGATTATTTAACTGGCAATGTTTTAAATGCATACAGGTGAATGAGAAAGAGTTTGCGTTAAGTGATCACGTGCTCTGTCAGCATGTGATTACTGGGCCAAACAACCCAGTTTAACCAAGGGCAAGATTTAATTACTTTGAGTGAACGTTTCCGCTCTGTCAACCCACACTGAATCATGTAAATAGAAGGAGTACAAAGATAGGCCACTATTATCATCAACAAGATAACGCTAATGGAAGACACATTATACACTTCCTAATTATATCTGGAAACACAATAAACATTCCTACCACGCTGATGAAGGGCTACTGTATTAGCTGGTTTGTTGTACTGTACAACACACTTGTATTTAAGAACATACTCCCGACTGCTGTGTCGTGAATAATGGCCAGCTATTAGAACTTTACTTGCAGCACATCCTGAATCCATAAATTGTAAATACATCCCTGCCTTTAGACGTTGACGAAACAATGTTGGCAACTATTATAATAATGAAGCACTTAGTAGTCTGTGTATATGCCGTGTAAGTCGCCCTTCCTGATGGTGAACGTTCACTTTAGCATGAACAAACATCATTAGGGTAAAATGTCATACAGCATTAGACATATTTGATCTGAGCTTTTAATAATTATGGAAATGTTTTAATGTATCTTCCGGAAAGTGCGTTCTTAACTGACTCCTATCTGTCCATTCGTTAGAAACTTCAATTCAACTCTTTATTTACGATAAGTTATACAACTTATCGGTGGTTATATAAAGCATAAATTGATATAGCATAAATTGATACAGACAGTAGATTAAACGATAGAGTGACGTCCAAAATAAACAATTGTGGTGGGGTAGCCAATTGGTTATAACGTTGGTTTGTTACGTCGATAACCCGGGGTCGATTCTTCTCCATTTCGCGTGCACCCCTCTGTGATATTGTTGGAGTATTGCTCAAGCGACATACAACCATACTCACCCACTCTCTCACTCACTCACCCACTCTCTCACTCACTCACCCACTCTCTCTCTCACTCACTCACCCACTCTCTCACTCACTCACCCACTCTCTCACTCACTCACTCACTCACCCACTCACTCATCCACTCTCTCACTAACTCCTATAACGGTCGTCGTTTGTGTAAGAGATACAATAAACGCTTATCTTTACGTTGTTTAAAAGACATTAATATTACTATGATGGTAACGTGATAATGTCATGTTCTGTAGGAACCCACGACTCGCATGGAACCAGTATTTATTTATTACATTGTGATCTTGTAAAACTGAATTTTTTTTAGCATTTTGGAAGGATGAAATGAATGGTTGCGTTAATAATGGAGATAGATTCAGATATCAAAATGTGTTCCAGCTACTATAGTGTTCAATCTCATATCTAATGTGTGCTGACTTTAGGCCTGGTAATGTTCGGACGGTTGAAGTGATTCCTACCATGGTCATGGCCTGATACAGTTATGTCATTGCTGTTCTCATGCAACCAGTGTCAGACCACACCCACAAGCGGACTACTGCTGCCTGATTGGCTGATAGCTGGATGGGCGGGGCTTGGGGTGCATTGTTGAAGATGTCACTTTTTCAGATTGTTGTTTACAGCTTTAGTGTGTTCATGTTTAGGCAGTCTGCGAAGGCCATGTGGTTATCTTTGCTATTAAAAACATGACGTCAATATATATATATATATGTTTGTGTTCATGGAGATATAAATGTTAAGACCCTTGTCACGCCATGAGCTGCACCTTGGTTTATGAGTCATTCTCAAAATCTGCAGTGAGTCAGTGAGTTTAGTTTGACGCCGCTTTTAGCAATATTCCAGCAATATCACGGCGGGGGACACCAGAAAATAGCTTCACACTATGTGTCCATGTGGGGAATCGAACCCGGGTCTTCCGCGTTACGAGCGAACGCCTTAACCACTTGGCTACCCCACCGACCCTGCAGACATTTTGAACAGATAAAGTAAGAAATATGACATTTCACTTCTTTTCAACTTAAAATCAATCTTTAAACATTCAGAATTGCAAAATGCATAAAAGCAGAGCTTAATGGTAATTAATATGCATTAAACATTATATGATATCCGAAAGTGTATTTTCCTAAATTTTTGTCGTTATACTTGTTTTGACTTCTGACTTTTTAAGTATGGGTAGTTTTTTATAGTGAAAGGTTCCTATAGTGAAATATTCTATAAAAACAACACAGTGTGAGCTTTGTAAATTATTTCAAATGTCATGAATAACAATTATAATTTGTTTCTCCCAACTTTCTAAAATATATAACTATGTCAATTTTATTTTTTAAACAAAAACAAAACTGTTTGTTATAGGAAAGAAATCTATGCAACTGGAATTACCAAGTATGCTATAGGAACGAACTAATCTCTATTATCTACTGATTCGTACATAACAAACAATGTGTTTACATTTCGTTTTTATATGATTAAGGGAATTGTCTTTGTGTACAAAGTGTACAGTGGCCGTATGCACATGTCGGGCGTAGCTAACGTCAGGCGTAACACACTACGTCGGGCTTAGCAGCGCCCTCCTCTTACACGTCATTACAACGTCGGTTAAGCCTAGGCGTTACTACGCCCGACTTAACGGATTTACGTCGAGGCGCAGTGTGCTATTTTTAGATTTTCGAACGTTTTTAAACCACCGGTAAAAGGTGCGAAACAACTTCGTGGTACATCCCTTGCAGCCGTAATCATGGAAAGCTAAAGAAAACCGAGAAATCCCAACTTTACCGATGGATCCTGGTGGAGAAATAACATGGACTTTCAAAATAGGCTTCATCATAAATGTCGCCATTTTTGACACATTACAAAATCACGATTCACAGCGTTATTTGGTGTATGTTTTGAAATGTTCAAATCGGATAATTACTATTCAGAAGTATTGAATTTCAAAAATAGCATATTAATGATCACTGATATCAGGTTTTCATGAAATCACTAATGATAATTCTGAAAAACACTTACACGAACCCGAAGTGCGCTTTCCGTCATAGAATCTATAGTGTTTACAACATCACGTTTCGCGTAGGCCGGAATTGAGTCGCCAATGACATCACGTATTATCATATTAAGCTGCGACAAATGCATCACTGAATTCCCCATACATTTTAGAATCAAATTACAAATGGTCTTTGTCACCAATATCAACAGTCGTGATAACATGAAACGAAAGATAGTGGGTGTGAAAAGTCCAAACGAACGCTGTGCTCGAAAGGCTGCTCTTGTAAAGAAAGAAAAATTCCGATTTTACACTACGCAGCATTTTCTGAAATTTTCCGACTTTCAGCCGTCTATTCATTGCCTGCAATTGCCCAATATCTTTAGAATATGCATGGAAAGAGTATCGTAGCAAGAAATGGGAAATTAAAAACAGATACAATGCAATGATTTGATATTTCATAAGAAATTGTAAAAGTTTCCGTGCAGCGTGACGCCCACATGCCCCCACTGCGGGTCAGAAAATCGATAAACTAGGCCCCGGTTTAGTATCAACACCCCCTACTATATAATATGTAAAGGTTCATCACAGAAATACGGTGGCATGATCGAAAACCGGACAATTACGCACACATCAATCAATATATCCTTTTTTAAAGGCCTCACCGGGATCAAAAGCTTTGGTCCATATTACCTATGTGTGTAGGGGGCATATACACGTGCTCTCCGTGGGGGTGCATTTGTGGGTTTTTTTTAATTGCCAAAGACGTCACCTCCGCCCACCCACACCACGTCGTGAAACATGTATGGTCTCCAAGGGACCCGTGGGTGGCTGTAGTGCTGTGTAGTATCTGGTATCTCCCTCCCTTCACAGAAAGTCAACACTTACAACACTATCCACTTACATTCACAGGGTGTCTACAGTTACGACACTATCCACTGACATTCACAGGGTGTCTACAGTTACGACACTATCCACTGACCCTTATCACCAATGTATGTCTCCAAGGATGTATACAAAATTGCATATACTTCGTGTTTACACTGACAACCATTCAACAACAAGCAGCTATGAAATACTTCCTCAAACACTGTGTGGACATAATCATATGAATGCCCTAGTTTCGCCTTCGCAACATCCTGTTTACTTGTGTAATTCTTTGCTTTGTTTGTTTCGTGAACGATATTCAATATTCATGTTATTTGAAGAATTAAGTTTCATGAAAATGAATGCATGTCAAAATACGCTGTTCATATACAAATTAAGTTTTCCGTGTTATGTGACCAGCCTCTCGTCCAATGGAGAAACGTCACATGAACAACATATACCCTTTTCTCATAATTATAACGCAACCCAAGTTACAGGGAAATCCAATGAGAAATCCCATTGGCGTATATCAACTTGAGTTTCAGTACAATCCTTTAGTTCAGTAGACATTCCTTATACGAAATTATTGTTGGCACTGAACTACAGA